TTGATTTAAAATTTCCCACCTACTCATGAGTCTGTACTTTAGGTCAGAATATGCCGCAATGAAGCAAGAAAGGTCTAAATACTTTAAGGAATTCTTCACTGGTTTATATGATAGAATTGTATTCCCTCCCCACTCACTGAACTTACTGTGGAAAAAATAAACAGATAAGCAAATATGTTTATTTGTTGACATGTCAAAGAAACTTTGGAGAAATCTGTATATTTCACTGTAAGACTATTTAGAAGATACCATCAAATAGCTTTTCTCTGTTTATAGTTTTAGAGTAAACACTGACGAATATTTGAGAATGCGTGTGTGTATAGTTGAACATAACATGCATATTTTCCCGCTATGGTTAATTCCCAATGCTGATTTATGTCCGGAGCAGAGAAGGATAAATATTTGGAGAGTATTGCCTTTTGTACACATGTGTTCAGGTCTGTTCAATTAAATAAGTTAAAAGTTAAAAGTTACTGTTAAAAGTCCTGGTGTGAAGAAGATTTTGGAAGGGCCGTCCGATTTCAATTTGACCGTGGTCCATAACCAAGGCAAAATCTTCCATGGTTAGACTTGTTCCCTTCACGTACCTCTTCGAGGCGTTTAAGGAAAGATCACAGTGAAGAAACCGCTGTTCTGACAACATTTTCTTTTCTCTTTCCTCAACTAGGAGTCTTGATTGCAGTAGGAAGCTGAAAAATGTAAGTGTTTCCACTTCACTTTCCAAACTTGTATCCCTCTGACGTGGATGGTTCAGTTGTAAAATGTAACTGCGTTCAATGCCCTTGCTGTGCCCTCGCTGGAAAGAGTCTATGCGTCTCTGATAGAATAATTAATGACTGTGATAAAAATAAAAATAGTAGATTTAAGGCGGGGGGCATTCTCTTTAATTAGATAAGCGTTCGACCCAGAAATAAACAAATGAAAGCTTGTGCTCTGTTTGCAATTTGGTCTCTTGCACACAGAGTCATCAGGCCCGACACTAACGTTAGCCGCTTTGCATTGGTTGGCACGGATGGTATTATTAAATTAAGCAGTTGGGCAAATCGTTTCAGGGAAAGATCCACATAACGTGAATAGCGTTGACTGCCGTGGGCCCGGACTTTTTGTGTTTTGTTCTCCCATTAATCAATCTTCTGTGTGCTTTTTACTAGCACTTCCCCAAATCAAGTTTTTGTGTTAACAGTTAGATCTTATTTTCAAAAGACAAGCATGTGAGTGCTCTTTCATTTTAAATTGAAATTGAGGAACGTGAGAAGTGACCTTCGGTATCTGAAATTTAAAAAATTGGCTGTAACCTATCACTTTTTAATTTCCCAGGGGCCATTATATTTGATCGACATTCTCCTTCTTCTTTTCCTTCCTCTGTAAAACTAGACGTGTGCGCCATTTTTCATCAGACGGTTCTAAACAGATCAGAAAACTCTTGATCTACAACACAACAGTCTCCCTTTCCTTTACCCTTCAAGATAGCCTCATACTCTTAGCACACATTAGGCGTTTTATGGTCCTAGTAAGTGTCCTGACATTTGGAATCATCTGCTCTCTGGAAATTTATTTGTAAGCAATCAGTGAAAAATAAGACATTCTGGAAGTTTTGAAAGATGCATGAAGTGAAATTTTAGCACAGCGGTAGAAAACCGAATCGCACCCTAGCGTTGAGGGACAGAACCGTATTTTGGGCCTGTTGTCAGCTGGAATGAATACGCGACTCTATCACGTTGTCCGAGGCATTTTCTGGCCTGCTAAGAGGAAGCAGGTAGAGTGAGTGCTTCCCAGGCTGGTTGAAGTGCTAAGACAGAACGTGAGAACAAAATAATAGTCTTAGTTTTTTTGTTTTTTTTTTTTTTTGAGACAGAGTCTCACTGTGTTGCCCGGGCTAGAGTGCCGTGGCGTCATCCTAGCTCACAGCAACCTCAAACTCCTGGGCTCAAGCGATCCTCCTGCCTCAGCCTCCCGAGTAGCTGGGACTACAGGCATGCGCCACCATGCCCGGCTAGTTTTTTCTAGATATTTTTAGTTGTCCAATTAATTTGTTTCTATTTTTATTAGAGACGGGGTCTCACTCTTGCTCAGGCTGGTTTTGAACTCCTGAGCTCAAACAATCCACCCGCCTCAGCCTCCCAGAGAGCTAGGATTACAGGCGTGAGCCACCGCGCCCAGCCAATAGTCTTAGTTTTGACGTAGGCTGCAGGTCCTTACGATTCAGGTTTAAGGTGCTCATCTTTAGCCCACCCCTGCTGGGTTTTACGGGAAGTGAATGTAAAAAGAATTTGCTTCCGTGGACAGTTCCTCTGGAAAGACAGAACAAAATTAACACAGGACCGTAGCTTCGAACCATTGACTATTCATAGACATCCTTAAACACCCAAGGTCGTTTAATTGGTAGCAACCTTGTCAAGGCTAAAACTTCCCCATCTCAGATTCATGGGAATCTAACCATAGCCCCACAGCGAGGTATCTGCAGATCACATTCTTCGTTACGTTGCTTTCTTCTGACTTTAATGAGATACAGTGTGTTGATCCTGAGCGGGGAACCACTAGTTAACCTTGATCACTAGTCCTCTGGGGGTTTTGCCATTGGTCTTAGCAGAACCTCTGTGCCCACGGGTAGAAATTAGGGGCCTTCAAAGCACTTTTCTCAAAAGGGATGGGCAGTCTCTTCCATCGCTTGTCTGGGTGAAGACTCCAAAGAGTTTCTGAAAAATTTTGCTGCCTGATTGTAAAACCTTCCCTACATGAAAATGATTTTGGAGGAGTTATTTTTCTTTCTTGCCATCTTAGAGATCAGCTTGCTATCTTAGAGATCACTTCCTCACAACCTAACTTTTCCTAAAACTGGAGTCTTATTTTAACTACTGAATCATGTTTGCATTGACTGATAGGGCTTTGGGTTCTTACTAAAACAATTTTGCTTTTAATGGATACCTCATGGGTGGGGGTTTCTGTAAATCAGCTCTCTTCTTCCAGCATCCTGTTAGTGTGGCATTATTGATTCCTCAGTTTCAACGTCATTCTGGAGGGAAAATTTCCTGCTCTGTGCCTTGTTCTGTCCCGCAGGTGTTAGTTACCATCTACTGGCTGGGGAAAGCTGCGAATAGCTGCACGTCCTACAGTGGAACCACACTGAACCTGAAGGAGTTTGAAGGATTGTTGGCTCAGATGAGAAAGGTAACTAGACTTTTCTTCTTCAACCCCAACGAGGGTTAGACAAGGCAGAAAAGCGCATGTTTGCTTGTTGTTAAGATTGTAAGAGTACGAGGTTGGGGAATAGGACAGGCCGAAGATGTCATGCACGCAAGGAAACGATCGCTTATCTTACCAATGACATCTTTGCCTCATGCATCTGACACCCACCTGAACTTTTATACCCTCAAGAACGGGAGATCTGAGCTCCATCCAACTTTAATTCCCAAAGAGCAAATTCAATCTGTCAGTATATGGCTCGAATGCCAAGGGGCTGAGTGCTTATTTTCGTGGGGGAATAATGCTTGAATGAAACAATGCAGTGTTGTACAAAGAATGACAACTTGCTCTGTGCTTTCGTCCTAAAGGTCATTCTGCTTACCCGTCAGGGCCTTGGTGTGGGTGAGGTGCAGTGGGCCAAGCTCTTGCCTCGGCATCTGCCCCAGACAAGCTCTGGTCAATTAGAAGCGTTCTCTGTCCACTGTATTGGAATGACTTGAAAATTTGGAAAACATTTTCTACATTATTAAAAACTTGATTTGTTTATTTGATCATGGAAACAATTGACCTAAGGTAGAAATTTGTCAAACAAACAGTGGAATGTTTCATGTGTGGCTGCCCAAGTGTTCCTTTTCAAGGTTCGTCAGAACGTATATCTCGTACAAAGTGCTAGTGTGTAGTATCAGGAGAAGTCTGCCCAGCCAGCCTTGGTGGACAGGTAAGGCTTATTTATAGTCAGCATCCATGTATTTTTGGATAAGGCCCACATGTGAGCACAAATAGTTGAGGCCTTTCTCTTTTGTATTTCTGTAACATGCAAAATAAATGAACTAATGAGACCTCACTGAGAGGCATTCGTTGCTTTATGGTTTTTCTTTTAATACAGAAAGCAAGGATTTGTTCCAACTTTCTAACCACTCGTTCTCCTTCCCTTAAATTAAAGCTAATAGTCCTAATAGTTCTTCGCATTTGGCCAGAGCCTGTCCGGCGCACGTATTTGTGGTTACAACACGTATAAACAAAGTCCTTTAAGCTAAATTCCTTTAAAAATAAAATAAACACACCCACGCAATTAAACACGGTGCGTTGTTTCTTAGTCTTCGCTCTTATTTATCCTTTACTTTTTCAACTAACTTTGTTCTTAGAGAAACTGTAAAGGTAAGTTCCAATCTGGATTTGAGAAGTCTAAATGTTTATTGTTTTTGTGTTATTAAATTTGAACTTGAATAATAACAGATGGGTCATCTTTCTGAAAGTCTTTAAAAGCTCTACCTCACAGCTCCCTGCTGGATTCTGTCGGAATCTGATATTTATTCTCATTACTGACGTTTCTTACCACTCATCTCGCTCCTCTATAATCTGAGCAGTATCAACTCTCATAGCTTCCTTTTCTACGGAGACAGTTACTTCAGCTGGAGGTCTCCGGGACTGGATCTAGAAAGTCGGCCGTCTGGGTCTTCCTGTCTGTATCTTTCTCTCTTCTCTTCCTGTCTCTCCTTGCATTCGTCTATTCCTCCTGTAGGCACCCATCCCTCGCGACAGGGAACGTGGCCAACTTCCTCCCTGGATTACCAGCTTCTGCCTCCGTGCCCAGAAACGCGAGGGAATTCTTTCCCCGGCCCCAGGCGTACAATTCCTGGGGACGTCCCCTGGCCCAGCACGGGGTCTGTTCCTGAACCAGTCGCTGCGGTCCGGGCGAGGGATGCCACGGTGGGCGTAACCCAGTGGTGTCTCGGGGGCGAGGGGAGTTGCTAGAAGAAAAGGATGAGGAGGAGGGGCGGATGGGCAAAGAAATCCAAGACCTCTGCCTAAAATAGCCATTTTCTGCCTCCAACTTCCATTCCCTTGACCCGCCGTATTTTTTTTTTTCGTGATGCTTATCACCCAACTGTATGTTTTTCTGTTTAGTTTTTGTCTTCCCTACCAGACCGTAAGGCCTGCAAGGACAGGGTGTTGGGTGATGTTGTACAGTGTTGTGTCTCCAGGACTGGGACAGTTCCTGGCACACGGGGGACGCTAGGTCAATACTCGTGGACCGGATGGTTTTGACACCGGAGGGCGGAGGGCGAGGAGTGGCTGATCAGGCTGGAGAAGTAGGACCCGAAAACACTCTAGAACAGGGTCAGCCGGCTTACACGTCACAGAGGGAGCAGAAAATACTGAGTGGTCAAACGGAGACTGCTGGGGGTTCTCAGACACCGTAAGTCACCCAAGCCCAGCTGGTTCTCAGTACCTCCGACGAAGGGGGAGAAGAAGAGGCCAGAGAAGTGAAATAAGGAAGAAATTGCATGGAAGCTGGGAGTTGCCACCTCCCTCGTTAGCACACTTTACCAGGACAACCAGGTGGCAGTTGGCACAGCGGGCTCATCCGAGCGTCACCTCTCGTCCCGGGGTCCCCTCTCTGTTGGAGACAAAGCCCCCGGCCTCCTGGGTGCACAACAGAGACAACGTGATTAGATGCCCCGAGAGGAGAATCCAGACTGTGCTGGCATTTGGTGTTGGTTTATATTTCTGCCCGTCCCCGTTTTGGGCGACCAAAAACCAGAGTGTGGCGACAAGAAGGAAACCAAAAATGTTGTCTGTCCGGCTGATGTCCACATGTTTATTTGTGGCTGAAAAACCAGCCCCTTACTGCACCCTGAGCTTCCCAGGGGACGGGCTTGGCCAAGGACGGCCACGGGTGGCCTGGTTTCCACTTCTCAAACTGGCCCCGCCATCCAGCTCCCCGCTCTTGCGCCCGATCCAAGGTTTCGTTCTTGGCTGTCTACACAGCCACGGACATAATGGCCCTTGTGTTTTTCTTTCCCATAACTAGCTGTGAGAAAGCAGCTGAAGCTCCAAGAGGCGTGTTGACTTTCTCTTCTCCTGTGGTTTGTAGGGTGGGGGTGGGCGAGACATTTGGGCCGTGGCGGCGGGGAGGGGGGGGGCTTTCTGATATTATTTTCTTGAACATCCAGTTTTTTAATGCCATGCCAAGCAGCTTGGAGGTGCGTCCTTTCCAGATGTGACCAGGGGCCCTGCTCCCTGAGGAGCTGGTGGGAGACTAGACCCAAGGCATCAAGAGATGGGTGTAAACGAAGAAAGAGATAGTGGATTATCGGTGTGTGTGTAAAACTGTGTCCTTAACCACGTTTATAAATGTCGTGTGGTTTTTATATATATATATACACACACATAGAAATTTCCCTCCCAAGTGAATACGTGTTAGTAACGACAACCATAGCTGATGCTTTTAGAGTATTTATTCTGCATTAGACATTTTTCTGAATGCTTTCCACATATTAACACCTTGAACCCTCCCAGCAACTCTGTGAGAGGGGTGTTATTTTTAGCCCCATTTTACTGATGAGAAAACTGAGGTCTGGCAAGATGAAATAACTTGCCTAAGGTCACGTAGCTGGCAAGGAACAGAGCCAGAATTTAAACTCAGCCAGTCCGGTTTCTGAGACCATTCTGTTAACCAGTACCCTAAACGGCCTCTCTCCTGCAATAGTCAGGCACTGCACAAGGACATTTTGGTCAATGATGGACCACATATATGACGGTGGTCCCATAAGATCATAATACAGGTTGAGCATCCCTAATCCAAAACTCTAAAATCTGAAATGCTTCAACATTTGAAGCTTTTTCAGTGAAGACACGTCACTCAAAGGAAATGCTCACTGGAGCATTTTGGATTTTGGATTTTCAGAGTTAGGATGCTCAAGCAGTAAGTATAATGCAAATATTCCAAAATCCGAAAAAATCCGAACTCCAAAACAATTCTGGTCCCAAGCATTTTGGATAAAGGATGCTCAAACTGTATCATATTTCTACTGTATCTTTTCCATGTTTACGTATGTTTAGATACACTGATACTTACCATCGTGTTACAGTTGCCTGCAGTGTTCAGTACGGTAGCATGCTGTGCAGGTTTGTAGCCTAGGAGCAGTAGGCTGTACCACTTAGCCTAGGGGGACAGTAGGCTATTCCGTCTGGGTTTGTGTAAGTGCACTCTATGTTTGCACAAGGACAAAATCGCCGAATGATGGATTTCCCAGGACGTATCCCCGTCATTGATCAACACGCGACTGTATTTGTGGTTTGGTGATCCGGGCATAAGCAGTATTTAGCTAAGGAACGTAAGCCAGGTTAGCATCACCCACAGAGTAAGAGGCAGTAAGTGACCAGTAGTGGAGGAGAAGATGCTGACGGCAGAGCTATGACCGCACCAAAGATGATCACATTTTCAGGCTTACCATTTGGGATGTGGACAGAGTCCTGAGTTGCAATTACTGCTTTGCCACTTGCTGTGTGACCTCTGTCCAGTTACTTAACCTCTCGGAATCTTATTTTTCTCTTCTGTAAAACAGGGATAATGCTAACCACATTGTGAGGATGGGGGGCTGAGAGGATTAAATAACATAAAAAAGCGTCAAGTATAGCCCCAGACACATAGTAAGTGTTCAATAAAACTGACCTTTGCGTTGTAGCCATTTGGCCTATTCTCGGTGGATAAATAATCCACAATAATTGCTTGTATTTCCAAAAACATTAAATATGAAACCGTATCCAATTGAGGTCTGTAATTTTCGGTGAGTCATGATTTCTTCCTTTTCCAGCTAGTCAGGCCTGGCTTTTTTTCAAGTCCTCTTTAACTTTTGACCTACAAGTAAGCTGCCTTGATTTCCATAACTGGAATTTCGGCCTCCCTCTGGAGGGTCAGTCACGCAGGCCGTCTGACAAGCTATTCCTCGGGGGCATTAATCAGGGCCTCTGCGTGGAGGCCGCAGGGAGGGAGGCCCCTCCGCCCTGCCCTTGTCCTTCTGCCCAATCCCGCAAAACCTGTGCGTGTCTTGTGAATTGCAGCCACCAAGTCCCCCAAAAGTGCCTCCCTGTGCAGAGTATGTCAGAGGCTCTGGATATGATTGATAGAAGGCGCCGGCAAACACTTCCTGCAAAGGCGTCGGCTGCTGTGGGCATCGCAGACAGTTTAGACCAATTTCCAAAACTGCTAAGCTGGAGAATATTTATTTAATCTTCCTTTCTGTTGGGAACGCAGAGGGGACTTTGATTCCCATCCTGGGAAATGCAGAGCGTGGCATTCCAGCCTTCGCAGACGAGAGCATGCCCTCCTGCCAGTAGCGTCCGCAGCCCCGATTTTAAGCGACCGTCTGGGGGGATATGAAATTGAGGTTTATCTTCGAGTGACCGGAGTTATTTTTGTTTTCGTCAGCCTGGACGGTTGTAATTAATGCTGAGACACTGGCGGGAACAAGGCTTTTATTATAACACCAGGGCGAGGATGGCTTTGACTGACCTTTCTTCTGCTGGAGTTTCAGTGTTTTAGTGTGTGCTGCTTGTGCTGGAAAGAATTTATAATCACAGGCTGTCAAAGACAGCCATTGTTCTCCGCGCTCTGAACATGTGGGTCAGCCGCAAGCGCTCTGGGCTCCCCCAGCGCCGAGAGCTGGCCGAGAGCGGGAGCATGCCTGGATTCTTCTGAGGCATCAGGAAAAGCATTTTGCATGTTTTTCATTGCAGACGGCTCTCTTTCAGAGCAGGAACTTCCCTGCAAGGTAGCAGGAGGCGAACGCATGCTGCTCCGGGATTTTACAGCGCTGACTCCGCTGCAAAAACAAACACCGCCTGCGTTTGCCAGAGAGCAAACGGGAGCAGTTGCGGAGCTAACCTAGGGGGCCTTTCCCAGGACAGACATGCGGCTATGGAGTCCGAGAGACAATGCAAGGTTACGGTGTGGGTTTTGCTTTTCTGTTTTCGCCTATCGCTGTGTTCTTGTGAATCCAAACCTTGCGGTCCTTTATCCTAACTCCTTTGCTTTTTTTTTTTTTTTTTTTAACCTTGTGGAGTAGGGGTTACTTGGGGATTTTTTTAAATGTTGTACATGATTTTCCGATAGAGAAAGTTGAAGCAGAGGAGGGTTGAGGAGCAGAATGAGGACGTGCAGATGATCACTGATCTATAACTGGTCGCCACAGCCTTTCCGTGCTGAAGTGACGTGCAGGATTTCTTGGAGACCGTTGGAGACCGATCTCCCTGCTCTTGCAGGCTATCCTGCAGCAATGCCTGCAACCCTTTCGTTCTCTTTTTGTGCAGGAGACCGATGACATCGAGAGTCCTAAACGCAGCATCCGAGACAGCGGCTACGTCGACTGCTGGGATTCTGAGCGAAGCGACTCCCTGTCTCCTCCTCGCCACGGCAGAGATGATTCCTTCGACAGCCTGGATTCCTTCGGCTCCCGCTCCCGGCAGACGCCGTCGCCAGATGTAGTGCTCAGGGGGAGCAGCGATGGTAGGTTGGAGTCTTCATGGAGGGCACACCTCGGAATTGAACACTAACGGGGCTGCGTTGCTGCCAGCGGCGGGACGGGGGCTGGGAAGGCAGACTCCATATCCGCCTTGCTGGGACCTGGTAATTCTAGAAGCTGGCAGGGAAAAAAACAGTCTTTGAATGTTGTTTTTCATGGTCCTTAGAGTTTTGATTGGCTCTGCCAGCAGCCTATTTGAGCATTGCCTCCGTGAGCGTATCTTCTGCTGGAAAATGTGTTACATCATTTCTCCCTCGGTCTCAGTGAATCGGGGCGCTGTGCAGACCATTAGCTCATAAAGCGTGGAGGAGGTTTACACACTCTGGGCATGAGGAAGGGAAAGGTTTGTGCGGGTGCCACACTGTCTAAGCGGAAGGGGAACAACTTGCAGCAAACCGGAAATGCGCCGCACACGCTCAGGAAAGGTCCGAAGCCTGGGATTTTGCAACTTTAATTGGCACAGTTTTTGGCACTCTGTTTGATGCTTGTGATACCTGACCAGCTGGCTGTGCGATGCGGGTGGCCGTTCATGTACAGTGTGCGAGCCAGACTGCCTGTTTATTCTGAGGCTGGTTTGACTTAAATCCTTGGGATTTTATATCACCTGTAAGAAATGATCATTTTTTCTTTACAAAAATGCACAGTCGTATTACTTAATATAAATGTAATGCTTATTTTCAGAAGCTGTTTGCCTTACTTTTATTGCACCTTTCGGGAAGGGAAGATGCCTTGGCCCCATGTATAAACTTGCAGAAAGGCACCAAGGCTGGTGGGGAGTTTTTTATTTGTTTCTATTTTAATATATATTGTTTGAGTGATGATAGTATGTCTAGAGACTTAAGCCTACTATTGCACCTTTCGGGAAGGGAAGATGCCTTGGCCCCATGTATAAACTT